CGTTCCTCTTCATGATATGTACCGGTTCTCTCCACTTCCGCTACGTACGTAGACGGAAGGTCTAGCTGCAGCCCCAGCCACTACAAACCACGCCCCCTACAAAACACGCCTGCATGGTCGAAGCATCGAAGACAAGAGAACTCGCATGCGTGTTGCAACACCATATGGAAATGACGGTTCAGGTAAAGACAGATTTATATTTTTACAACTTGCGAAGATTTTTACGTTAAATTTGAACGTTTAAGACACAGTTTGATAGATAGCGCATTAGTGATTTTTTTTCTGAAACAAGTTTATATAAAATTAAGCATTATTGGCAGTGGGGGAAGACGTCATGGACGCAAAATATTTTTTATATAAGTTTTAATGGGCTACATGCAAGCCTTTTGGCCAAAATATATGGGGTGCCATTTGTAAAGTCAAACAGTCATAATCTAACAGCAATATTTTTGGTTATTTAGCATATCATAAGAGAAAAAATTGAGAGTTCACTTTTTCAAAGTCATATTTTCACCATGTTATTCATACATTTATAAATGTTAAAGTTTCCAAATAAATATTTAGTTAGCACGCTAAATATTTAATTTATAGTTAAATATTTATGTTGCAAACTAAATATTTAGGTCTGATCTAAATATTTAGTTTGTAAAATAAATATTTAATTCACTAACTAAATATTTAATTTACTAATTAAATATTTATTTTGGAAATAAATATTTAAAATTTAAATTAAATATTTAATTTGTAAATTAAATATTTTCCAAAGAAATATTTAGATCCCAGCTAAATATTTATTTTCCATGATGTTATTTAGCTCCACACTATAGTTTATATTTTTGGGTCAGACTTAAATATTTATTTCCCAAATACTGATTTTGCAAACTAAATGTTTAGCTCCAAAATAAATATTTAGCTGGGATCTAAATATTTATTTCGGAAAATAAATATTTAATTTACAAATTAAATATTTAGTTCCAAAATAAATATTTAATTAGTAAATTAAATATTTAGTTAGTGAATTAATGATATGCTAAATAACCAAAAATATTGCTGTTAGATTATGACTGTTTGACTTTACAAATGGCACCCCATAGTTTTCATGACATTTAGCGTGTATTTGGCTGTGTCCGAATCCAGAGGTAGGATGCTTGTGAGTACGGGTCCTCGCCGGTCTAGCAAGACCGGGTCCTTGCTAGACCGCTAAAACCGGAAGTCAGCGGCTCTGAATTCGGACAGTACTAGCCTCGTTTTTATTCCCGCCCCCAGGTCCAGTTGCTTAGCTACCGTGACGGCGTCAAACAGGCTAACAAGCTAACAAGCTAGTCAGAGGTGAAAATTGATCCACAGCAGTATTCCCTTTTATTTTTGGTTTTTGAGGAGCTGCGACTGCTTAGTAAACGTCACCAGCCTTTGCTGAGAAGCAGCCATATCCAGGTAAAATTATTTTTTGTTTAGTGAACCAGCTTTCAGGCATTACATGTTAACTTTAGTGCTATAGTTTCATTTATATTTTAAGCAACAGAAAGACATGTGGCTGAATATACACATTAGTATAGAGTAGACTAACATGCATATAGTTAATTTAACCTATATTCATCTAAAATAATTAATGGAATGACATTTTAGAAGTTTGTATTCGATCATAATGCTTGGTTCTGTGCATAAATTTCATAGTAAAAGTAGCATTACAATGTGTTTAATGTGTATTGTCCTTTTCAACTTATGCCTAATAATGCCTAGCTCTCTTCTAAAAATCTCAAGCATTTATACAGTTTTTTTTAATTGTTTTATTGTTCTCTACTTTTCTTTTAACAGAACAGACCCCTGTACTGTAGGATAAACATGAGTGTGCCAGTCCTGGACCGTTTTTTTTAACCAGGAAGATCCCAGGCCAGATTTTCGTCTGAGCAGGGAGTCTTTTGTGGTGTTGCTAAATCTCCTGAACCAAGATCGGCGACATGGTTGGGGTGCCACAATCGAGACCCTGGTGTTTCTGTTCTGGTTGGCAAGTGGAACATCCTACAGGGTGGTCTCAAGAGTATTTGGGATGCCTCGCTCAACTGTCCACGACATCGTCCATCGAGTCACGGAGGATGTGGTCGCAATCCTCCACCAGGTCATTCACCTCCCCAAAACCCCAGAGGAGATGGAGGTTGTGTCTCGTGGGTTTGCTGGGCTGGCTCGACACAAAGCTTTCATGAAAGCAGCAGGTGCGATCGACGGCTGTCACATTCGGATCAAGGCTCCGAGCGGTCCTGATGGTCAGTGCTACAGAAACAGGAAACTGTTCCCATCTATCATCCTGCAGGCAGTTTGTGACCATCAGGGCCGCTTTATCGACACCTATGTGGGCTGGCCTGGGTCGGTCCACGACTCCAGGGTCCTCCGGCACAGCCCACTGTACAGGCAGTCAGCCTATCCTCCTCCAGGGCACTTCATCCTCGCGGATGGAGGTTACCCATGCCTCCAACATCCACTCCCCCTCATCACCCCCTACAAACGGGTGGTTCAAGGTGTGGGAGCCCAGCGCTTCAACAGCCAGGGCACGCTGCATCATCGAGCATGCTTTTGGAATGATGAAGACCAGGTTCAGGACCATCTTCCTGAAAGCGATGGAGGTCCACCACACCTTTGTACCTCATGTAAGTTAACACAAAGTGGAAATAAACTTTGGGTGTAATCTTTGTTTGGGAATGAAATATAAATTAAAATTTTATCTCTATTACAGGTCATAATAGCATGCACCATCCTACACAACATCTGCCTCAGTGCTGGTGACATTGTGGTGCAGGACGATGAACTGGAGGATGATGCTCCAGAAGATGAGGGGGAGGCTGGTTTGGAGGCAGTCAGTGGTGCCCTCTGGCGGGACCAACTTTCTGCTGAGGTGTCTGCTCTGGAGGAAGTACCACCAGATCACAATTACTGTTAACAGGCAAGTAATTTACGTAGGAATCTCTAGTTTAAAAATCATTTAGTCCTGTTATCTGCTAGAGTTACAAGTATTATACTCATGATCTCCTTATTTGCATATATCTGAATGTTAGTGATGTGACAGCCGTCGATTGAGCCAGCCCAGCAAACCCTTTTGATGGACGATGCAGTGGACAGTGAAATGACGCATCCAGAAGCACCCTCTGCAGACCACTCTGTCTGATGTTCCACTTGCCAACCAGAAACGTTCAGCCACGGATCTCGGTTCCTGCACTCCATCCACCTCGATGATCCATGTTTAGTAGATTTAGCAACACCACCAAAGACTCCCTGCTTTCCAAGTTTACTGTATATATTTTACTTTTATCTTTACTTTTATTCCTTACAGTGTTCCCTTACAATTTATTTACTATGTTGTTACTTGTTAAAAACTGAATAATAAAACTGTTAATGATCAAAAACAAGTTATCAATTAATAGAAATTTTATTACATTTAAACAAATAACAAAAATATTCAAACACATATATAGAACCTGAACCAGAAGAAACTAAAAGAAAAAAACTCCATTTCTCTGCCATCCTTTCCATCAATGCTAAAAATCTGTCCATCCTTCTTTCTCTCCTCTCCTCCGCTTCCCTCTGTTGTCTCATGTCCTCCCTGATCAGGTCAAGGAGCTCATCAGCCCTTCTCCTTTTTCTCCCTGATGAGGACTCCGGCTTCCTTCCACCACTCTCCCTGTCCTCTGTCTCACCCACTGCTGCACTTGGCCCTGGAGTGTCCTCGGGAATGGAAGCAATAAGGACAGGAGGCATAGTGGAAGGCCTCTGTCCCAACACCTCGTCCATGGGGACAAACCAGGGCCAGGTTTCAGCAGTGGGCTTTCCGCTGACTCCCTCTCCTGACCCTGTATACTTGCAGTCCTACAGACAAAGGGAATTAGAATTACAAGGCTTTATTGTCATTTAACAACAGAGAACACCGTGGGCATAGTGAAATTACAGATGCTCCTTAAAGGTACTGGTTCTGGATGAGAATAGAAGAGCAAAGTCAGATTATAAATCATAGTTGATAAAACATGCAATAAACAATATTTTAATTTATCAACATGGGAGATGAAAATTGTGTTCTGTGTTTTTTTCCGCCTAAAATGAAATTAAAAACATTAAATCAGTAATGTGGTTTCTTAAAAATTAACTTAAATAAACATTAAACTTAGTATTCGTTATTTTTGGCGTTCGTTACATGATTACATAAGATGCAAGCTCTTTTACGGTGAGTTTTTTCCTATTAGACTTTCAAGCAAGTTTACGGTGGGGTGTTAACCTTAAAACAAATGATGAGAAGCTTTATTCGCTAAATAAACACACACACGGGAATTATGACGGGACCACCATACAAGCTCGTTCTCGCTGATTTCTGCTTAAAATGTACTTATACAAACGACAAATGTCTATAAACAGAACCGCTTTCAGCTTAGTTTTCTACCGCTATTTTCTTTTGAAAAGCCTGCTGGGATCAAGCTAGTTTACGGTGTTTTTTTTCCTATTAAACATTCAAGCTGGTTTTCGGTGGGGCATGTTTTAGCCTTAAATTACATGAAAAAAAACAATTTGCGGTATTAGATCTTATATAAAACACAAACCAAAAGTGCCCAAACACGTATTTTATTTTTTTGACCGCTATTTTTTTTTAACTAACTTACATTTTAAGCTGTACTGCTGTCCCGCTCCGTCCGCCGTTGTTGCGAGTGTCGAGTCCAGCGGCCGGCGTGCAAAGCATGCTGGGATACCCTTGCTCCTGTGAGGATCCATCAGACCCATCCTCGAAATGTGGGTGGAGCGAGGACGCGTTTGAGGACGCGAGAATGAGGATTCTTGGAATTCGGACAGTACTCGTCGCTGCGCTTTGACGTCATCGACCTCAAAATGCGCACTCACAAGCATCCTATCCGTGGATTCGGACACAGCCTTTGTCATGATGTGAGGGTGGGGATGGCGGACCATGTGTGGTGGGGGGTTCAGGAGGCAGAAGAGCAGGCACGGATGAAATAAAATGGATTTAATAGCAACGGGCGCGACAGGACAAAACGAGACATGCACATACAATGATCCGACAAAGGACAGGTGCAAAACAGGTGGTATAAATACACAAGGCTAATTAGGAAAACATGGGCAGGTTAACAAGGGGCAGGTGAGAACAATAAGGGCTAATCAGGGCAGGAGAGGAACACAGTCAGGAAGGCAGGGGCAGATCGTGACAGTATTTTATTTAAATCACCTTCAGCTTTACAAATTTTTGAGAACATTTGTTTTGCATTGTGTGGGAAAATAACCAAAAGTAAACTGGTGCACTCTGGGAGGTTCATGGAGTTCCGAGGACTCGCTTTGGGAACGGTGGTTCACTTAGGGACTATCAACGAATTTGTAGTCCTTTGTAAACGAGTACAAAAAATAAAAATAAAAAATAAAAAACTTCCAGAATTATTTCCTAAATGACTCAAAATTACATTTACAAGACACAACAGTTTTGACACGCTTTACACAATCTGGTCTTCTTTTATTAGGATTTTATTCCAAAATTAAGGGATTTTTTTCAATAGCTCCTAGGTAAATCAGTCTAAATACACAAAACCATTTCTCAATGTTGTTACTAAGCCAGACCAATGAGACACAGCAATTTTTAACACCTTTGATATGATCGGATCTTTTTTATTAGGATTTTTATCAAAAATTAAGGGATTTTTTTCAGTTGATCCAAGTTAAATTATTCAAAATACCCAAAACCATTTCTCAATTGTGTTACTAAGCCACACCAATGAGACACAGCCGTTTATAACTATAATAATAATAATATATATAATTATATAATAATAAAAATATTAATTTTATATGGTTAAAACCATCTAGCTCATGTGCACTATTTAAAACACTGCCCAGCAAACATTCGGACGTTTAATGACAGTTGAACGGTCACAACTGTAAAATAATATCACAGGAATTAGGAAAAAAATAACATGACATCTACTCTAATTTCCTTGCCTGGACTCGAACCTGAATCCTCTGGAGGGAGAGTCACCCGCTCTACCAGCCGAGCTATGACAACAACTACTGGATATCAGATTTTTTTATATAGATATAGCTCCCATCATTTTGGTCCGACAGGAAGCCAATGGGCCAATGAGGTAGAGGGTAAAGTGCGGGGTAAACTAACCAATCAGAGGACAGAGAAGATCTGCCACAGGCCACGCCTCCAGAGTGCCAAAACCCCTTCACAGCTGAGCGAGCGGAGTCAGAAACCGAGCGCGCAGAGACGCTGCTGAGCGCGCAGAGAGGCTGCCGCGCACACGTTTTCCTCTGCCGTGTGCTCGTTGGCAACGCGCGCACGCAGGTTTGTCACTTGTGCACATCCTTGTGCGCTCACAGAGACAGTTTGCTCCCTCTCAGTGCACAAATGACCTCTCGCCATGTATATTTTCACTCGTGAGTCCCGTTCACACGCGCGATGTGGACCCAATCCGCGTGAACGGGTTGTGGCACGGGTCTGGCGCCATAAATTAATGTTCGCTATTGTTCTCGCTCGTTTTTAAACATGTCAGTCTTACAGTTTCAACCGTTTAAAACTAAGTCTTAAAAGTAATTAAGTGCAAATACAATGTCATAGCGATATTTTGATGACGGCTTTGGGTAGAAAATTGACCATTTTGCAACAGCAGCCTAATTGTCCGGCGTTTTTTAAAAACTCTTATTAGCAATGTGTATGTCAGGGGCAACTTCTGTCCACCACGATTAAAACTTATACCCAGATTGAAATAGAGAGCAAGGGTGTTGCGTATTGAGTGTGCTGATAAAATCTCTAGTCATTTAAATGTTTTTTTTTCTTCTTCCAAGGCCAAAGTTGCTAAGACAGGAAAAAAATAAGACTGCAGATAATTTCCAGTGGAGACGGTAAACAGAGGTGAGTCGAAGAATGCTCCTTTCTTTGTGGCTAATAAAATACATTATTTTTAAACCACTGCCTAGTCACAATAAAACATGTTGAAAAGGTATATTTTAATGGCTCCCGCCATCTTCCCCCATTATTAGTACTTATCTTGCACTTTTTTCTGTCGGTCTATATGGTTTTGTGACATTAACATCTTTTTTATATCTCCTCCACCAGTTGTTTGTTTAATTAGGAATAGCTGTGTTGGTATTTATAATGAATTTTTTTATCATGTGCAGATGTTCCAAGTGGCACTAGCACAGGTCACCTTTTATGGTAAGTTATAAGACTATATTTGGTCACATGAGTTACGAGTATAGTTTGGTTTAATCAGTTGTTGAGCTATTAAAAATCACATTTTGTATAATTGCACCAAATCACTGAGGATACATCCATTGTGTAAATCCTAATCCAGAATTTTGTGTGAATTTTGCTCCTGTTTAGATAATGTCCATTACATTAGTTATTGACATTCCATTTTGTATGGACAAATTTGTATTATAAAGTCAATTCAACCGTTTCACAGTGAAATGACTCCATCGCAATTCCTTTTTATAAGAAACCTTCATTCATTAAGTCTCAAGTGCATATGGCAGGTTAAATCTAGTAGTTCCTAGAATAAATTTAAAATTGTGTCAAAAAAAACAACATTTGTTTTGTTTATTGGGGTATTGGGTAGGGCTGCAGCTATAGAATATTTTAGTTTTCAATTCTATTGAATCGTTCATTGATTAATCTAATATTTTATTTGACGACATTTCAAGTGAAACAAAATTTTAGTTTGCGGTTAAAAATATGAAAATAAAACAAAATTATAAAATAATACATATTAAACTGGTTGTCTAGTTCTTTCTCTTTCTTTCCCAGCTGATATTTCTAGTAATTAAATATTTTATGGGACAAAATTTCACTTACATTTCACAATTTAGGTTTGTAATAATATCACTCACCCTAGTCTAAATAACATGTAAATATATCCATCTATGATAAGTAGTAGGGCTGCCACAAATGACAATTTTAATAATTTACTAGTAGTGGACTAATCGTGTCGTTCATAAAAGTATAGCTTATCGCACCAGGATGCTCTAATATACCCATCATTAGCTTCTAGTTAGAAGTGTGATCAGTTATGTGCCATCCAATAATGTTCCCCACCATGACGTGCTTCCTTTTAAGGTGCTTGTGCGTCGCCGATGTGCTCCCGTAAAAGGAGAGTTTCACTTTGCAGACTTTGCACTCTATGTGCCTTTCTTTTGTCTTTGTAAATTGCTCCCAAACTTTTGAGCTACATTGCTGACTTGCCACGTCTTATTTCTCCGGTGACGAAGGCTGATCTGTAAGGCCACTACTGCGCATGCGCCTCAGAACTTAGAGCAGCAACTGACCCGGATGGTGACTATCGCACATGTGCATTGAGCAGGAAGACAAGAAGCACCCACCGAATGTGACACAGCTTGCGAGATTAAAAATGAAATGCTCATGAAATAAACAACGCGTTGACTATCAAATTAATAATTGACTATTTTGTTTGTTGACGTTGTGAGAAGTCAACTAATCGTGGCAGCCCTAATCAGTAGAATTTTATTATTTCATTAACATGTTTAGTAATAAACTTCTGGAAATGCTAATAACATTTGATTTCTACTGTTAAAGGAGCATGGGGCAGGAATTGTCCAAAAACAAGAAGTAAATAGGATACATGTTCATTCTTGTGAAGCTAATGGGTGATGAAGCATTTTAAACTAAAAAGAATGATGAAACCAGTTTATCATTCCATTTTGTTAATCAGGCTGTGTGCTGCAAAATGCAAAACATTCCTGATCCGAATTTCCCGCGCTGTTTCACGGATGTGACGTTAATTGACGCTTCAAGCGCGTTCTCGACAAGGTTCAAACCCGGAAAATTATTTGGACGCTTGCTAGGTGGCGGTAATGCGTCTTTCACTACTAGCCACGTTAAAACCTCAAACAGAAGAGGAAGAACCCTGGAAATGGATTCTACAGCTAGCAAAAGACCAAGCGCAACTCAAAGCCCATTAAAGAGTGGCACAAAGAAGAAGGTTTTATCAGCGGCATCTCGAGAGTCAAAAAGAAAATATAAAAGTCGGTCAGGGACCCGAATATGTATTGGGTATGCTCTGGAAGAATGAGGCTGGTTCAACTCAATTTGGGCCTGAAAAGGATGCGGACATGGCGCATTTTCTAGTGACCAGGTAAGTGTTGTATTAGCTGGTCTCCTTATGTCTGCTGTAGGTTTCAGTAACGAGTAGGTAAACATATCAGAGCTGTATCTCCACAATTTAAGAAAAGAAAATAAAACCTATGGATTTAGATAATACTGATTTAGGTAATCTAACAAATCTTTGTGCAGATCAACAAGAAACTTATCTAAGCTAACGGTGTTTAGCATATGGCTTCCTGATCAGTTTGAAAAAGCTAAAAGCAACTAAGGAGTAATCAGATCACTTCTACGTTTTGTGGACGACACACCGCTTGTGTTTGGAGATAAATGGATGCTCCGTTTATTCTGACGAGAAAAATAAACAGAGCTTGATTTGATTATATGACGTCACCAATCAGCCGGAGCGAGCTAGCGTGCGTTAGCATGTTAGCTGTGATCACGCTTCAGTTTGTATGTACCACAGAAGAGAACGGACATTTTCCAAACCAAAGATGAGTCTTTAGAGTTATGTCATATTTGATCTACAGTCCAACCTCTAAGCAGGACTGTTACTTCAGTAGATAATGTTATTCGTGGGGTTTGTGTAACAGAACCCCATTGGAATATCTTTTCCTAACGTTAGTGCTGTGCTACAAAAGAGTAAATAACTAGTCAGCCATTACTACATGTTTTACTAAAAGTAAAGTTGTGCAGAAGTTTGTGTTTATTTTTCTAAATTTGTCCAGTTGAATGTAGGTCAGAATAAAATATGTTTGTGAAAATGATAATTTTTTTTTTATGACTGACATGCATTTTCATATTACTAGTTGTGCTTAGCCATTATTGATCTATGTAAACAGAAGGTGTAGAGTCTCAACCAACTTGTTGACATTTTTGTTTAAAAATGTGTTTTCCAGCTACCGGAAGAAGCAGGCTCCTGAAACTGCAATTCAGGGAGGTAATGTGCAGTCAACCTCGACACCCAGTAAGCGAACAGCAGCTAAAATGTCGCATCGATTATCTCCAACTGAACCTGTGTCTGAGGGGTTAGTATCTTTTCTGTAAAACAAATATTCACGTTTTTGTGCTATGATATTTCATACATTAAATTACACCTTGCATATCCACACTTGGTTCAGAACTAACATCACACCACCAAACACTTCTGACATTATCTTTACAGGGAAGATTTTCTAATGGCTGTTGTTGAGGCGCTGATGACCTAGATTTGGATCCTTTTGAAGAAAGGTACATTTGTTCATGAGAAGTCTTGCCACATATGCAGGAAATTACTGCTGTACTATGTGCAAAAAAGATAAAAACACAATAGTTAAGCAAATATAGGTCATTATATATATGTATTTATGTTGTGAAGTGTCAATTCACAGCAGATTGTTGTTATTTGCAGAAATAATTAATGACAGATGTATCAGGCTCCACATTTATCTCTTTAGAATCAGTACCATTTCAGGTAAGTTCCAGTATTTATCTTTACGTACAACAAATATTATTGTGTTGTCTGTAGTTTCAAATCCATGGATCTAGCTACGGATGCAGTCCAAATTGATGAGGACCAAGAAACAACTTACTCAACAGTGTGTGAGTTGCAATGTCTTCTTATCTACACTCTTTTTTTAAACTCCAAAGTCTTAAAACAATATATTAATTCTACTTTTATTTATTGTTTTCATAACAGAATAGAACTGTTATGAAAACTTTGTCAGGCTGATGAAGTTTGCAGCCGCAAACAAAACGTTGCAGGTAAATAAAACCTTTCTATGTTTTAAAAAGAACTAAAAGTGTCATGACTCCCATCCTTCACCCTCCTCCTCTTCCTCATTATACCTCCTCATTCAGCTCACCTTGTCCTCTCACCAAGCTCCAGCCAAGCCCTGTTTTCCCCAGCAACCTCTGTCAGCTTCAATCAGCTCCATTCATTCCACCTGCTCCTGTAATCAGCCTCATCCCATTCACCTGCTTCCCCTGCTATAAAAGAACCAGCCATCCAGTCAACCGATGCCAGATTATTACAGCCTTGTCAGTAGTTCTCCAGCCATCCACCCTGCCTGTTCTTTGCCTCTGGACCTTGTTTTTTGCCTGACCCCTGCCTTCTTTGACCTTAGCCTGCCTCTGAACCTGCCTCAGCCTTGCCCTCCAGGTACCTCTGCTTTCAATAAAGACTTTTAATATATTTTTTTACTGTGTTGGCGTCTTCACGGGTCTTCTGAGTTCTGTTTGTGACAGAATAATCTGGCCAAAAATCTGACCCAACGCTGACACAGCACTTGGAGTATTTTTTTTCTTTTTCATTGTACCTGTCATGGAGGATCTCACGCTCCTGGAGTTTATGGAGCTAGAGAAGGAGCAGGAGTCACCGTTCTGGGGAACGCGGCTGGCCATCAGGCCAGAGCCACGCAGAGGCTCCACTCCTCTGTCCAGGCCTGCTGCAAACGTCTTGTGCAGCGGGTTCATGACCACGCCGCTCCAGCCTCAAACCCCTCCTGTCAGGTCACGACGGCGGCGGTCCCGGAGGTTTTCTGGAGCTGATAAGAGGGTTAATCCTTCTCCCGTGCTTGTGTCGGCGGGTTCCACGGACGGCACCTCATGTTCTGCTTCTGGACCGGTCCCGACGGAGGAGATTGTTCAGGGGATGATGCAGATGGTCGAGGAGGCTGTGTGGGAGGTCTTTGCCAAGCCAACCTGCCCCCACTTGCGTCTGCGGGCGGCTGATAGGTTAAATGTCATCTTCTCCACCCTTCCAGAGTTGATAGCAGTCCCAGCACTTGGTAATTACTACCTTTATGACCGGAGGGTATATGGGTCTGCACTGAAGGATGTCGCCATGGAGGGTCTGACCTGCTGTGAGAGGTGGTCACCTTCCCCAGAACCCTCCAACGTGTCGCATCCTGCTCCGGCGGTGGTCCCGGTGGACGCATCGCATCCTGCTCCGACGGTGGTCCCGGTGGACGCATCGCATCCAGCTTCGACGGTGGTCTCGGAGGACGCATCGCATCCAGCATCGACGGATGAGGTCCAAGAGGCCCCGGTCCCGGCCCAGCCTGTCCAAGGGGCTCCGGCCCAGCCTGTCCAAGGGGCTCCAGTCCAAGGGTCGACGCCTCCAGGCTCTGAAGAGGACCCCTCCTGCCCCTGCTCTGAAGAGGACCCCTCCTGCCCCTGCTCTGAAGAGGACCCCTCCTGCCCCTGCTCTGAAGAGGACCCCTCCTGCCCTCAAGTTCCCCAGTCTGAAGTTCCCCAGTCTGAAGTTCCCCAGTCCCCTCTTAGTCGTGGGCCAGTTTCCCCTCGTAGTCCTCGTCCGCCAGTGTCCTCTGTCACCACACTCCTACAGTACCGGCTCCTGGTTCCCCGTCGCCGGCCCCCCCAGACTCCCACGGTTCCGGCTCCTGGTTCCCCGTCGCCGCCCCCCCAGACTCCCACGGTCCCGGCTCCTGGTTCCCCGTCGCCGGCCCCCCAGACCCTTACGGCCCTCCTTCCTGGTCCCCCTCCTCCCGCCCTGCTCTGGCCCTCCTTCCTGGTCCCCCTCCTCCCACCCTGCTCTGGTTTCCTGTGGGCGTCTGGTATCCGCCCTTGAGGGGGGGGGTTCTGTCATGACTCCCATCCTTCACCCTCCTCCACTTCCTCATTATACCTCCTCATTCAGCTCACCTTGTCCTCTCACCAAGCTCCAGCCAAGCCCTGTTTTCCCCAGCAACCTCTGTCAGCTTCAATCAGCTCCATTCATTCCACCTGCTCCTGTAATCAGCCTCATCCCATTCACTTGCTTCCCCTGCTATAAAAGAACCAGCCATCCAGTCAACCGATGCCAGATTATTACAGCCTTGTCAGTAGTTCTCCAGCCATCCACCCTGCCTGATCTTTGCCTCTGGACCTTGTTTTTTGCCTGACCCCTGCCTTGCTCTCTGCCTGCCACTTTGACCTTAGCCTGCCTCTGAACCTGCCTCAGCCTTGCCCTCCAGGTACCTCTGCTTTCAATAAAGACTTTTTATATACATTTTTACTGTGTTGGCGTCTTCACGGGTCTTCTGAGTTCTGTTTGTGACAAAAAGATGGAATTGTTGTTTTATCCTTGTTCACAGGCTGGGATCCTAAAGGGAATTTCCATCCTACTTCTGTGGCTGAATGACATCTTCAACCAATTTTGGTACATTTGCCAGAAAGCACATCATCGTGATATGTTTAATGTAAGTATTGTGACATCTTTTGGACAACAAGACAACAATGAACATTGACATAATTACCTTTCTTTTCATAATAGTGCCAGCTCTCGTGTTTCTGTTGGTGCGCGCTTCTGTCACATGTAAAGTTTTCAAATAAAACTTATTTTTTCTGTTAGGACATGTGGGTGGGTGTGCTTCACCATGTCACAGGGAAGCATGAATGGACCCGTGGCAAATGTGACCATGGACCACTTGATGCAACGACCAGTGATAAAGAGCTCATGGTGCCATGATCTCCACCACACGAGGCTCTTCAACGAATCATGTTCAACAGACGCTGGTTGAAGGATGTCACCAATCTGACCTTTAGGTATATTAATAACATTTTCATAAGCAAAAAAGCTAAAGTGTCAATATCAAAGCTGACAATTTACATATAGAAATGACAATTGTGGGTGAAAAGGCAATCAAAAGTGTGATTCCTAATAATCTATAAAGTTGTAGCTTTTGTTTTTTTACAGGTCAACTTCAGAACTGGAGAGTTTCCAGAACTGCATTCTCATGTAATCTATGTATGATCTAATGCTGCTGTTCTCTCTCCATAAAGGCCCCAGCTACGTGAAGCATCAAAAGACAGGAATGACTTCTTTCATGCACACAGATTTATTAGAAATTAAGAAAAAATACTATGTACAAATGCAAATAACAGAACTTTTTTGTACATAAATAAAAATAAATATATTGCACAAACTGTTTGTTTATTTTTGGGTGAAAATGCTGTCTTCAGCTAAAGTTATTTTGAGGTATTGTGCTGTTTTTGAACTACTGTAGTTGTAGATAAACGGTTTGGATTTTTGGGTTAGGGTGCCCTCAGTCAGGAAGACGGTGTCCTGGCGTCTCTTGCCGAAACTCCAGGATATCCAGCATCACCCCTGGAAGACGGGTCACCACTCTCTCGAGAATATAATCTCTCTCCTCCTGGCTCAGGTGTTGTAAAGCTGTCTAGAAATTAAAGAGCATATGTTTACATGACTAGATTCATATCTCCAGTGAGTGATGTTTTCGTTTTTGACATCTCTCTATTATTTTATTTTATTTTTTTACACAAATGGCTACAACCAACCTGCATCTCAGCTATACTGGCAGCTCTCAGCTGTGCAAGCTGGTCTTGGTCCTCTTCTCTGAAAGCTGTTCGCTGCCTACCCCGGCGCCCTGGTCCTCATGAAGGAGCCCTGGACCTCAACCTGCTGCCCTCACCCTTTGAGCGTGTCCTTCCCCGACCCTCGGAGCGACCTTTTCCTCTCCCCTTTCCAGTACTGCCCTTTCCTTCCAATGTGAATTCCTGAAAATCAATGACAGTAATGGAAAAATGACTGTATTACCCTGTAGGTCTTGTTATTATGATTTTATTTTGATGCATTTTTTTGAACTAAACATTGATATTTATGTTCTTATTTACATTGTTGTGATGCCTGTCCTGTAATGAAATTGGTTTCACAAATGATGTCAGTGACTTGAAATTGGATGTTCTTACATGATGTATAAATAACATTAGCTTGTTAGTAAGCTTAGTGCAAAATAATAACTGTAATTTGTCTAAAAACATCAGAAATCACCTGCAGCCACAAAGCCTTATGCTGATAAAGTTGCATCATGTTACTGTCTTGCTCGCCTGTCACAAAACTGGCTTATGAATGTTTCATAGGAAGGAGCACTTGCTTTACATCACGAGTGTCATGGCTAAATTAAAATGCTAATGTCGTCATGGAATTTTACAAATATTAGACTAAAGTTACAATGTTACTTACTTCATCGCTCGACACGGTGCCTTGTTCGAGCCGCGCTCTGGCCGTACATCACTGAAACTTTATTTTTTCTAGTGAAGAGTTTGTGCGCGCTCTCGTGCCGGGCTGCAGTTACTCACAGCGCCGAGTGCGTCGCTAATGAGTTTCGTTTCTTCATCCTGCCCCACAAGGACGTAATTTTCACTTTAGAAGTAGGGGGGACACGGGGGGGGGGGGGGGGGGGGGAATCTTGACAGTATGCTCTGATGGAAAACCGGCTTCAACACAAACGGTTGTTTTCCGCTTGGTCCTAGAGCTCAACCAGTGTCAATTTAATATAGCATACTATTGTTTTTGGATGGTAAAAATTGCAGGGGTCAAAACTTGACTTTGGAAAAAGTGGGGGGGACATGTCCCCCCTGTCCCCCCCAAAAATTACGTCCATGCTGCCCCATGCTCCTTTAACAATGAAATGTTGACATATAAATTTTATTATGTACAGGTTGGCAACATAATCCAGTCTAAATTGTATTCAAATATAGAAGTGTTTGCGAATTACATGCTACAAACACTGCTGCTGCTAAAAATAAAAGGTGATGGTTGTGAAGAATGACTTAACTCTACAAGTTTAGGAATAATCCACACCATTCATCCCATTTATTTGTGGATGTCTGCAGCGGTGTTGGGCAGAGCTGCAGCAGCTACCTGCAGTTTGGTTGTTGCTACGAGTCTGATCCAGACATGCAGCACTGTATAGCAAGCCGTTGTAGCATGTAATTCACAGACGCTTCTATATTAGAATCAATTAAGACTGGATTATGTTGCCAACTCTTACATGAGAAAATCTATATGCCACCATTTCATTGTTACCCATAAAAATTTAATGTTATTAGCATTTCTAGTAGCTTACTACTGAACATGTTAATGAAATAATTAAATTCTACTGATTCATAAATGGATGTTATTAAGACTAGGATGATTGATATTAGTACAAATTTTAAAAGTTAATTAAATGTAAGTCAAATTTTGTTCCATAAAATTTATATATAGAAATATCAGCTGGGAAAGAGGGAACTAGACAACATGAGTTTAATACATATTTTTTATAATTGTTTTATTTTTGTATTTTTAGCAGCAGACCAAAGTCTTGTTTCACTTGAAACATCGTCAAATAGAATACTCGATTAATCTTTGGAGGATTCGGTAGAATACTCGAATAGTAAAATATTTGATAGCTGCAGCCCTAGTTTTATACAAATGTAGAGTTCTAATTATTTACATGGTTAAGTAACAGATAATCTAAGTAGGTGTGATTTGCACTTTAAAATTGTTACTAAAAGATGAGAAACTATGGATGTGTCCTCAAGTTGAAGTTATTTGAAACAAAATCCGAAAAAATTTGAAACTAAAAACTGAGCTTGTTTTCTCTACGTTTATCTTTAGGATCCAATTGAATATTGGACAGCATTTGGCCTTTTACAGTCACCATGCAGTGATGAGAAGTAATTGTAATTACTTTGAAGTTCTGTAATCTGGTGTTTCCTTTAAGAACTGTAATACTGATGTTCACTAAAGTTGTTCAAATAAGCCAATGGATTGGAAGTGCAAATTGTGTGCAGTCACCTCAGACACCCGAGCACATTTATTTAAGCATTACCGTTTGAGCCATAGCATTTTTTGTAAGATTAGCCCATTGCCTTGTCTCTATGACTCTTGCATTTGTACATTTAAATCTTTTAATGCATTGAAAATCCATTTGTCACGGCTTCACAATGAGCCATCTAAAACTGGTGCAAGTCAAGGTGCACAAGAAGTTGTCATTTTTACATGTCCCTTGTGCAAGTTAAAGCAACCATTCTCAGAGACTGCAATATTCAGCCATTTAAGAAGGCACCTAAAAAACCACGAGAATGTGGCTTGCCCATATAAAAACTGCACTTACCAAACAAATGTGTATTCATCCTTTAATACACACAAATGTAGGGCACACACAGGTAGTCAGGGCATTTGTGATGTCCTTGTGTCAAACGAAAACAGCAGGCCAGTGGAAAGCACTAGTGACTTTGCCATTGAGGATGTTAATGATGAGCATTTGGATGACTTGGCTTTTCCTGAGGTAGACAGTGTTTGTGATACCAGGCAGTTAAGAGAGCAGTTACACAAGAACTTGTCTTCATTGTTCCTGAAGATGGAAAGTATTCTTCATGTTTCTCAAATGGCATGTCAGGAAATAGTTGATACTCTGGCACAAATCATTTCATTGTCAAAGCCTCTCATTAAAAAGACTCTGCATGATGTATTACAAAGGCATCAGGTTACTCCTTCCAAGGCTATCCTTAATGATTTGCTGAATGCTGTAAATAATGCAAATATTTTTGCTTAGGCTACAGCTAAAGGGGAGGACTTTTGTTCAAATAAACATAGAAAAACGTTTATTGAAAAGAACTACCCTGTGGTAATGCCTGTTCAGTATATATTGGAGCCTGGTTGTACAGCAGTTCATGTCCCTATACTTGAGATGATCCAAAAAATGTTCCAACATACAGACATTCTTAACAGAATTATGGAAACACATATCTCTTATGAGGGTCTTTACACAAGCCACAGAGATGGGTCATATTTCCAAGGAAATGAGTTGTTTTCTTCATCAGAGCTTTCACTGCCACTGATACTGTACATTGATGACCTTGAAATTGCCAATCCATTGGGCACTTCAAGGAAAATACACAAACTGTGTGCAGTATGCTGGATGTTTGCTGATTTGCCAAGTAAATATCGTTCAGGTCTGCATGTCATTCAGCTAGCAGCATTATGTAAGGTACCTGATCTCCACAGGTGTGGCTATGAAAAAGCATTTGGTCCTTTGCTACAAGATCTAAAAACTCTTGAGCAAGATGGTGTATTTATTGAGTGCCTCGGTAAATCTGTTAAAGGGACTATCATGTGCGTTGTAGCTGACAACCTGGCAGCCCACTCATTGGCTGGGTTTAGTCAGTGTTTCAGAACTGGATTTATTTGTAGGTTTTGCAATGCAACACGAGACCTAATTCAGTCTCATGATGTTGGAGATGGCAAGTTTAGCCTCAGAACAAAAGCCAGTTATGACCAAAATGTGCAGGAAGTTCTACATGGGGATGGTCATAGTCAGGCAGGTGTGCAACGGAACTGCATCCTGACTGAAAGTTTGCAGTATTTTCATACAACCACAGGCTTCCCTCCTGATGTCCTCCATGACCTTTTTGAGGGAATTGTACCAGTGGAGTTGGCCATGTGTATTCAGGAGATGATCCGGCAGAAATACTTTACTCTGGAGCAGTTGAATAGAAAAATCTTGTCCTTTCCTTACCAACACTCCGATAAAGTTGACAAACCAAAGCCCATCTCAAAGAACTTCTCTACAAAGAGGACCATTGGTGGCAATGGTCATGAGAATATCACATTGCTGAGAGTACTGCCATTCATGAACGGTAATGTAGTCCCTGAGGAAGATGCTGCTTGGACAGTGTTAATGGATTTGAAAGAGGTTGTTGAGCTTATGCTGTGCCCAAGATTTGATGAAGAGTCCATACAGTATTTGCAATCAAAGATAGATGACCACAGAAAAGTGCTGCAGGACATGTTTCCTGAGTTAAGACTGCTTCCAAAACATCATTATATAGAGCACTACCCAGCTCTTATACGTGCTTTTGGGCCACTTGTTCACTTATGGACAATGAGGTTCGAGGGTAAGCATCGCTTTTTCAAGAGGGTAATACATGACACACAAAACTTTAAGAATGTGTTAAAAACATTAGCAACACGGCACCAACACATGGTGGCCTACTACCTCAGTGCACCTTCATTTTTTCAGCCGCATCAGCAGACGACACACGTTACTTCTGTCATGGTT